TTTTTTTTTTACTTCAACAGAAAGGTATAAATCATTACGAAAAAAGTTATAAGTATATATATCTATAAGAACGTGTAAAATAAACTGTTTCTTACAGGATACTAAGTAATTGAAGCCGCTTAATTGAATTTGCCGTGCAATGGTCGTTAACTAGAATTGACACACTTATATACGTTTTAGATTGGCCTTTATACGATAAACTTCACTTTATCGGTTCTACCAATTCGGCAATCGCAAATTTAATTCCGAAACGATTAGTACAGTATCAAAACATTTAAGAAAAGGAACACTTATTTATATCTAACAAATATTTTTCTACACAGTCAACATTCAATAAGGGTCAGTGTACACCAATTCGAGCACTAAACTGTTACGTCATAAGTGACGTAGACAACACTAAACATTTAATACATAACCTTTATTTAGGTTTTCGTGAAGTTTGACGACTTTTGAAACACACATACAAATAACAGGTAAATTATAGAAATAGTTAAAGCAATGAATATCTAAATTACAAGCTTGATATAAAGTTGTAAAGTTACCTATAATTAGTGATTAAGTTTTCATATAATTAATGCTTTTTATCTATAGATCTTCTATTTGAAAATTTTAGTATAATTATATGAAAACGAAACCACTAAGCGACCACAAGTAGACATTTAGAAATATATATTTTTCGTTCATTATCAAAATATTTATTGTCGCTAGTTACCATAGAAACTATTTTTTTTTTACAAATACGTATGTGTCTATTAATTTGTTACCTATTCCTATGGGTTGGAGTCAAACCCTATGACTCGGAGAAGATATGATTTGAACACGACACAATTTAGTCTCCTATAGAGTTTATTTTCCAACAGCAATTATTAACTACAACAGTATACGATATACGCGATACATGTACATTAAAACATGTAGTCCTAAGTTTCATATTAACATTAAGAGCGGAACATGGATTCCACACATGTTCTATATAAAGCCAAATACCAATGCATTTATTTTATGGTTATTTATAATTCCTTAACAAACTTAGTTTTGTTTGAGACTCATTAGTGAACACGAAGCATCGCTACTATAAAAATAATTTTGATAGACTAACTGAAATTAAACGTGCTCGCCCGTTACGAAAATATTGTGGAATACGATGGTAGCGTGAAACTGACACAAGCATTTAGTTTTGCTGAAGACGTTACCAAGAATTTTAGTCCTCGCTGTTAAATTAAGGATCAATTACCGAATCCCAATACTAAATCGTCTATATCGTCCATATTTTAACATATGATGAAACAAAACTGTCGGTTATAGAATCATTATCACCCCAGGTCTTTTGGTTCTAGTTTGCTGAGCTACTGACCTTGATTTTCTATTATAATTTTAATTTGTTCTTTCAATCCGACTACACACAGTGCAGTTTCGACTGAATGCAGTGCAGTTCCAACTGCACCGATGATGTAGTGTCTTAAGCGGTCACTAGGCGGCTTACTACTACGCTGAGTGCTGTGGGTCCGATCCCCACATGGAACTACACTTTGTGTGATCCACAAATTGTTGTTCTGAGTCTGGGTGTTCTTTGTGTCCGTTTCATGTATGTTTGTAAAGTCCTAATGCGGGAGTTGTCTTTCAGCCTTTGCACTCCAAATCTATCTGTCAACCTGATCAGTACACATATATTTAGATATGAGAGAAAAGAATACCAAAAATAATAAGTATAGAAAGGTATTTAAAGAAATAATAAAGGCGAGTACACAACGTATCAATAAACGGATGTGCTGAGTTATATAATGCAGAGATCACAATATCATAAGATGTCACAGAACGCTAAAGCATTGCTCTAATAAAGACTAAATTATTTTATACTTCACCTAACTAACTTTTACACTTATATTTATTTATGACAAAATTAATCTGAGGATAACTTTTTATAAACTTACTTTTAACTAAGAGATACCTACATGATTTTTAGTTGCAGATATTGTTGTTCTAAAGTGGGTTCGTAGTTTGAGGACTTTCATTGGATGTTCATCGACTACAAATGTTTAATTTGCTAAAATTAAATCCTCGGTAATCGATTATATTATTGTTGTCCTCCATAAAGAAACCCACAGTAAAATAATCTAATACGTTTATAATATACTATATGAATTTATTATAAAAAAACATTTATTACCATTACACTAGTAGAAAGCTCGAGTTGAGAAGGAGACTCATAAGAAGTCAACAACCATACTTCCACATCACTGTAGAACACCTTTTCTCAACGTAGACGTGAACTAGGCCTGGCAATTAACACAGAAATTGATTTACATACCTGTCTGGTCTAGTATCTTTTGTTTGCTGACAAAATAATTTTTCTTTTTCAAAGTTTCAGTTTTAAACGGTTTTATATAACTTGACTGGCTTGGGTTAAATTTATCAATTAAAATTTTACCCCCTTCCTGTTAAAAGGAGATGACCACTTTTTGTATGGACGTGTGTTTTTTATTTCGAGTAAAATCCATCATGGCTCAAATTACACTGGTATTAACTGCTAAAATTAGGAATTGGGAATTATTTAGATAACAATTTTTGAGGCTTGCATTTAAGAGAAATACTGAAAGTTATTTTATGCTAATAGATTTTGTTATTGAAGGATGGCAACACTAAATATATAAGATAAATCAGTAGAAGGTAACGCTTTTCGCTGAACCTGACGTAGTCTATTAATGGCCTTTTATATTTTGTAGTATCCATTGATATGATGTCACGTGTCACGCGTCAGAGACAATTGTCAAAGTTGTTTTTTAATTTTTGATTAGGCATCGGTAGCAAATGTTTTGTTCGTATTCGGCCCAAAAACATGACAAAGCGAAAACGATGTTTTGTGAAAATTTGTCCTAAGAATGTGTCAAAAAATATTTGGTTAGTCGCCACTAGATTTTTTAAGTTTAAAATGGTTTTTAAACTGGGCATCTCCTTTGGTGCACATCAGTAGTTCTGATGACAATACATTTTTGACATACACTGTCATTGTAAACCCAAAATGGCCGTCATCACACAATGGCAAACATCATTTTTCATTCAGAAAAAAAAAACCTACTTATTCAAGAATCAAAACATAACTTATGGTTCACATCTACATTGCTTTATTTTACTCCATCTAGACTTACTTTAGTAATACCTACCTATTTTACTTTGAGCTTAGCTTGTTGCTATAACCATATACATTTTAAAGATCCCAGTGTAAGATCGCAGAACATCTAAAGACTAGAAATGAAAAAATTACCGATATAAAAGTAACTAAGTAGACATAGTTCATCCCTAATTTAAAAAAATATCAACCACACCTACACCTACTGAGTACTTCTAGTAATAAGATGTCTTAAAATCTATTAAAGCTATGTCTCTAATATCTTCCTAAACTTCATTAAACGTCCAATTATTTATAAAAACACGTACCTAGACGCTAACTATTACTTTATTGAAATAAGATTTGATACGTTACGTCAGTAGTAACAATGTATTGTCTGTAAAATTTATAAGTTTATAGGTACATCGTTAGAAAAGGTCGATATGCAGTTTTTTTTTAACATCTGTTCTATGATAAAAAGGTGTAATATTTTCGCGGTAACTTAACTGCAAAATAATACAGCTGTAACTAATTTCTCCTGTCTGCCGTGCAGAACTTCTTCGCCTATGATGTTGTTTTTAGCACTATTATCCAGGATGAATACATCCACAGCAAGGTCATATAACATTGTCTCTATAATTTACAATAAATTTCAAACTTTTACTAATACTAATATATATTTGATAAAAAATTTAAACGCACAGTGAAAAACATTACATTATTGTCATAAGTTTTGCTGTAGGTCATTTGATTAATTTTTTATTGTCACGATTTTATCGCGTAAATTTAAAGTTTGAGTAATTATTTAAAACATGTAAATTTATAACTATTTATATTTAACAGTTTCTAGATTTTTTTAACCTGCATCCATTTGAATGGGATTTATAGTTTTATTCTATCAAAGCACTTTCCCCTAAACTACTAACATCAAACAAACATATATCTTAAATACTAGGGATGCGGTCAAATTTGTCACTCGTGGTCGACTAACTCGGAGCTGTGCGCGGAGAACCCTATCTACGAGATTCATGAACACCAGCAACAAACACAACACACCCTCACCGCTAACATCTAACACATAATCAAAAAATCATAATAGGTAGGTACAACACAATAAATATTCTAAAAGTTTGCTAAAGCTTCCAGAACACTACATTACTTATAAAAGCGGCTTACATTTAAATTCATATGACTTGAAAACAGTTTTTTCCTTAAACATATAAATTAGTTATACCTATTCCATTTCAATACGACTTTTCCCGAGAAAAAGTATCGGGGGACGCTGGAGGGCGCCCGGTCGCAATGTAAAGTCAACTTGCAAGTTTTCGGGTAAACTTTAATACAATATCTCCATTCCTTCACAATATATCTTTTATTATTATCACAGCTTCAAATAATCTACATCACACGATACACGAGTGATATGTGAAAATATTTAGCCATTATATATTATTGTCGTAGTCGAAATTGTTTTATAAATATTTAAGTCAATTTCTCAAGACGTTCATGTGTGTATATGCATCGCGCCTCACTGTGTATATGATTATTGTATATCTCAAATATATCTTGAAAAATTGTCTTACCTACTATATTTATTTTTATTATATAATAATTGTATTATTGTCACAAGTAAGTTTATTGTCACTCACGATTACTTAATATTTTTCTTTGCTCTGCAAAATCTTGCAGAACTCTATATTCTAGTTTAGCCAACATCACTTTGACACACTGTGCAATCCCAATAAAAAAAGTCATAAATTATTCGGTTTAAAAAAATTCATAGAGCTATTTGTCAAAGAGAATGGAAGTGAAATTGCAGACTTATGAAAACGTTTAACAGAATCTCTGCTTTCGTGATTCGGCGTAATTTCAAGGTGATGTCGCACTTTACATTTTATATGTCTTCTGACTTGGCATCATCGTCGTTGTAGGTGGCGATCTGTTGTTGTATCCAGGGGATAAATTTGGGTACGTACGCGTACACGCCGGGGAGCCGCGGGTGTGCGCACTTGATGCCCCACGACACGATACCGCCCACGTACCAGCGCGTGGAATCAGCCGGGTCTTTGCACAGTAGCGGCCCACCGGAATCGCCCTGAAATGTAAAATTTACCGTAAAAATATAATTTCTTCTTGTGTCAGAAGTGAATTGACTCTGTATGCGAGTGTGACTAGCCAATTTTGAAGTGTTAAAATAATTAAAAATAACCCTTAAGAAAATCAAATGTATTTGGTGTAGTTAGTAAGTACTGATAGTATTATACACATAAATAGAGCATTTGTGAGCATAAATCAGCATATAAGTAGATTTATTACCTTCCTAAAGGAAAAGGTAAAGATTTCAGTGCGGGCCAATCGCATCGCTAACGTGGTTACCGTGACGAGCGAGTTCATGTGAAATAAACTCACACTAGGTCCTTTGAACTCTTCACCAATCGCAACGTGACACGGTCACTGTGAAGATCGAGTAGATGTGAAATGAACTCGCACTAGGTAACTCTGATGAGGTACCTTCGTGAAGGAACGTGAGCTATTAGTAATCTTATTTTTTCGTAGAGAAATCTGTCTGACGGCAAAGAAAGAGTTGTTAACACCAATTTTCTGTGAGACCGTGGTATAACTCCAGTTGACTTGACCCATATGTGCTTAAACATGACTTTAGCACGGTTTGTACGGCCACTAATTGAAAGAAGTGAAATTAGTTTTGCCTTGCAACCGACACTTGAAGTTCGTAGGTAGTGCAAATAGCCAGGTACACAATTCTGCTACTTTAATATTGTATCAATAGACTGTCAACGGAATAGTTTTGCACTTTTCGTATTCTACTAACTATGTAGGACCAATGACCAATGACCAATGACAATGGATATCCCGATGACTTGTCACTGTTACAAATGTCGTCAATTTTTTTGTAATAGTTTGGTATAAGGTGCATTTTACATTTGTAAGGAAATGATAAATTTAATTTTCCAGATATGACAATATTGTTGATATCATCATTGATGAGCTATTTTCTCTTGACACTGATTTAATGTTAGTAGAATAGCGATATTTTGACCAATGTCAATGGTGTGTCAATGGATATCCGATGACAGTGGCTTGTACGTTAAAATAAAATAGCAGAATTAAGGCCCTAGTGGCTACAAAGTAAAAACAATAACTGGCCTGTTGATCTAGTGGGTAGTGATCCTAACTACTCCTCCAGACGTCGTGGGTTCGATTCAAACCCAGAACAAATAATTGTGTGATGAACACGATAATTTTTTCTGTGTCTGGGTGTAATTTATCTATAATACTAGCTGACCCGGCAAACGTTGTTTTGCCAAATACATTATTTCTAGGAAATATTGAAAAAAAAAAATTAGGGGTCACCCTTGTCATTAAGGGGTATGAAAAATAGATGTTGGCTGATTCTCAGACCTACCCGATGTGCACACAAAATTTCATAAAAATCGGTCCAGCCGTTTCGGAGGAGTATGGTAACTAACATTGTGACACGAGAATTTTATATATAAGATGTATGTATTTAGAAATATATAAGTCCGTTTATCAGCAGTCTGGTTACCATTGTATAGGTTCTGCCTAGTTTGGGATCAGACGGCCGTGTGTGAAACGTGTGAAAATATTATTATTATTAATAAGCATCTCTAAAAGTAATTAAATACGTAAAATGAAAACAGCAGCCAGTTTAGGCTTACTAACGAAATATTAATTTATTACTATCAAGCTAAAGCATTCCGCGCAACAGAAATCTTCTCTCATAACTGTATTATGTTAATATACCTTAAATTAAGGCCTAGTTTACACTTAAATCAAAGTGAGCCAATAATTTAATGTTACAACTGAACTTTAGATTTCAGTTAGTCCATGGCGAAATCACAACATGGTGTAACCTATGTACGAAGCTTTTAGATAAAGTTTAAATCCTAGCCTTTTTATGAAGTAAACTCCACGTTGATACATGAACATGTACTAACATGTCACACTGCTCTTAGTGTTTCTGCGTCATTGCGTTGTATTTGTAAATAATGTGTACGCAATGCCTGGACTTGTATACGCAAACACTAGAAAAATGGTATAAATTAACCGCCATATTCGATTAATAAACAAACATTTATTACCGCCATAAAAAATATACTTAAAAAATAACATAATAATAATAATAATAATGAGGAGACCTATCTTTGGAGTCCTAACCACCGGTGTCCTGGTCCCTGTACCCGATGTCGGTGGTCTTCTATTTTTTATATTTTTAAATGTATTTTTATTTCTTTTGTAATATATTTTAAAAAGTAATTATATGTATATATAATTTAATAAAGGGAATAATAATAATATTCTATCACATTCACACAACGCCATCTAGTCCCAAACTAAGCAGAGCTTGTACTATGGGTACTAGACAACTGATATAAATACATATATATAATTTTTTTTTGTAAATACATACATATTATACATAGAAACACCCAGACCAAATAAAACACCAAATGTTCATGCACACAAATGTTTGACTTGAGCGGGAATCGAACCCGCGACCTTTGGAATAGCAGTCCGTTACACAAACCACTACGCCATCCAGTCGTCAACAGCCTTTATAGTCCACTGCTGGACATAGGCCTCTCCTTAGAAAGGAGGTTTTGGCCTATTATACCACGCTGGCCAGGCGAGTTGGTACCGTAGGCCAGAGTTTGTGTCAAGTTTTCCTTCTTTTTGCAGTCCTGGTGTCCTGCGTTGTTTTGCGCCCTTAGTCGGCTCTTACGACACCCACGGGATGAATTGGGGTAGTGACATTCCTTATTCTTAATCCATCGCTACACGGACAAAGAAATTACAATTGCATGCAAATTATACTTAAAAATTAAGATGGCGTTATTTGAAGCATTAAAATCTATAAAAGACGTTAAGTTAACATATGCTATACTTTGACATGCATTAATGTCAATGTAGTAAATGTAGAAACATTAAAACTGTACACTAATCACTGATCAAGTATAAAGGAATTGGGTAATTGGTTTGAGTTTACTCAAAAGTAAAACAATTTACCCCCGAAAATATACAGGATTATGATTTTAATGTAAAATGGTTAAAGCCAGAATTACATTTACACTTTACTCGGATAAAAGCGACTCATATAAAATGCCATTAAAAGTGTGTACATAGCCTTAAGCAACCTGCCTGTACAGTACATTCCACGGTGCTGAGTTGTTCGGATTAAATTTTGTTCCGTTGTTACGACGCGCAAATTAGTAAAACTGAAGATTTTAACGACTAAAGCCTCAAAATATAATTTTGTACGTTGGGTATTTTGACAATGTTGGCAAATTGGAACTGTAAGAGTTTCGACACATGTTTTATCTTAATTTGTAGTCAGTTTCAGTACGTTTTAATCTAATTTTATTATATTATAATAACTTTTGTTATTCCTGAATAGTGTATGTAAATATTGTAGGTCGGCACGGAACATAACAGAACTTGTACGAAGTTTTGTTTTGCGAAGGGCTTTACACTCTCACTTTACATACGTTTTTTGTTTTTATTTATTTATATTGAAGTCTGTGACTGAATCGTTTCTGTCTGTCTGTGTTAATAATCATACTGCTCTATAAATATTTTATAATTTAATAATTTTGTTCTTATGTAAGTAAATGTAAATCTTAGCAAGAATAAAGTTTCTGAAACGCGATACTTTCTTCTAATGAACTAGTTTGGTAGCTTTCTATTCTGATTTTAAAGAGGATTCTCTTAGGATATCTTTTCTTTCTTTTCTTTTTTTTTAACTGTCTTCTCGTTAACCCCTCCCGCTAAGCCAAATTGCTTGTGTTCGGAATGGGTTCACGTCGGCAGTGTACTGATCAGGATTTGAACCCACGACTTGATCTTAAGTCCAACGCCTTACCGCTAGGCTAGGCCTTAACCGCCGAATGTAAAGATTATCACCTGAAAAGATTATTTAATCATAACTTTCTTTACCTTTTCCAACCAGGTTGGGGTCGGCTTTCAATTTACTATGATACGGCTGAACTTCGATTTTGTACGTGGAGTGACTGCCATCAGACACACAACCTAAGTTGTCGAAGTTCTGTAGAGAGACTGTTGTCGGACGGTTTAGGGCTCCATCTTTCCGTAACGGTTGCCACAGATGTTCGTATGGCAAACGGGACCGACGGCTTAAGGTGCTGGGGCACGAAGCGCCTCAATGTGTTAAGAATGGTCACCCATACATTTTTTTTTTTTTTTTTTCCCGGCGGAAATCCCCTCGGATACCACCTGTCGGTGGCATGTCGGACTCGAACCGACTAAAACCGCACGCCGTCTCGGGTACTAATAGCCGGGGAACCAGGTATACCCTAGAAAGGAAGTCCCTGGTGACCACATAGACTGACCTGGCTATGACTGCTTAACTTTGCAATGATTAACCTACTTGTTACCACTTAGCCACGAGCTCTCCTCCGACCAACCAAATACCAATAATGTAGAGTCTACGTCAGTATATACCAAGTTAATATTTTGATTGCTAACTAAATTACCAATTTATAAAACTACACTAAACCCTTTCGATATTTTACGCTTGAGTGAACCACCAGTTCATAAGTCTCCAATGATTTCGGCGCGACGGAGTAAACACTACCCAGTTTTATTGGCACAAGGGCTTGTTTATTGGCGACCCATCCCCCACTCTTATATTGGATTTACCTATTGGTTGATAAACATTTGTTTGGAGTTGTATTAGAATTTTTGTTTAGTTTATTTTGCCGTTTATTGGGGTTTTGAGAGCACGTTATTATGTTGGAGAGTAGTGTTACGCGAATCTTTCTAAGTGCCTCATATTGTAGGTTTAATCAAATATGTAAGTGAGTGGGTAAAGAGATTATTAAGGGCTCGTGATATATGAATCTGATGTTTTCAAATAATCGATTAATATCATTACTTTTATCATTCATTATTAATGATAATTTTGATCCAATAAATATTTAACATTTAAAGTAAGTCAATATTACTGTAAATATGGTAGTTATTTGTGATACTGTTTGCATTTTAAAGTTTAGGACTTACAAAAGATTTGTATTATTTATTTTTTCAAATATTTATATTTTATTTATGTCGTTGTTGGTCAATTTTAATGCACTCGATGTGAAAATGTTAAATTTGTAACGTATAATAACAGATACTATTTAATAAAATTTAAATAAATAAAAACGCAGCTAGTTCTTTCAAGTTTTAGTTTAACTTATTATCAGGTTCAGCTAACTTTCAGATATCCAATTAGTATTAATTAGGGTAATATAGAAAAAAAACGGATTTAGAATATATTATTATGACAGCCATGGTAACCAAACACAAGCATACAAATCTATGGAGAATTAAGTAGGAGTATGTAATATATTGAAACATCGCCTGTTTAACTCACATATTGTTAAGTCAATAAAAGAATTCCTCTTTTTATGACTGACTTAGCAGTAACCTAACTTCTAAGCCAGAGGTCGTGGGTTCGATTCCCACCCCGGACAAATAATTGTGTGATGAGAACGGTGTCTGGGTGTAATTTATCTATAATATGTATGTATTTAGAAATATATAAGTATGTTTATTAGCAGTCTGATTACCATAGTAGGTACAGACTCTGCCTAGTTTTGTATCAGGATATTATTATTATTTATGGAGCCCTACTCACCAGCTCCAGCTGCACTCACGCCAATAATAATGTCACGAGTTGAGACACTTCATAATTTTTTTATCAATATGTTGTTACAACTCACCTGGCAAGCGTCTTTCCCCCCTTCAGGGTAACCAGCGCAGATCATTCCCTCGGTGACGTTGAGGTCACGGTGCTCCAGCCATTGGTTGCACAGGTCTCTGTTTAGTACTGGGACTTCAACTTCGTTTACAGCTGGCTCGTATTCTGATACTGTGACAAAATTAAGTTTTTTAAATGTATACCAATTTTTAATAAAGATAATACGACTAAAATTATCTTTTATCGTCGTAAGTTTATAACAACGCACAAGCTTAATTAGTTCGTAATTACGTGCTGAGTAATTGTCTTAATTATTACAAGGACAATACCAATGCACAAGCAGTACAATACATAGATATATTTTAGTTACACAGCTTCGCGGATAAGGAAATAGAAATTTGTTGTGTACTCCGTATATATGATCTGATAAATTCTTTTAACATACTTTAAGACAATATATTGTCTTGTGAATATGGACACACTTTAAAATACTGCATGGGCACAGTATAAGTTTATAACCGTCTAAAGAAAGAGGTTGATCTCAGTTCATCTAAATAGGTACGTGTATGGAAAACTCTAAAAACGAAAACTCTCTTGAGGGAAAAAAACAACTCAAAAGGTGTTGTGGTCTATAAAAAATCTCACAACGTATTTTCAGTATCAGAAAGTCTACTTAGCGACATGCGTGTTATGGCTATCATGTTATACGCATTGTGACAATGAAAAAAAGTCACTACGCGTAACATATACACGTTATATATTTTTGTGTGCGCGTCATGGGATACCATAAGGGTGCGGAAAATTAAGGGATCAAGAATACGACCTCACTACAATGTATTATATTAGGAATAAGTGTCGTATAATTTAATATCGTTATTCGATTTGAACATGATCATTTAATTCGTTTTTTAGTAGTATGTGTTTTGATGGTCTACGGTACGTTTATTATATACACTTACATTCTTTATCGTCACGCTTCCCCCATCCGATGACAGTGCAGACGGTTCCTGGCTTCAGCACACGGTTAGCCGGTGGCAAGCAAACTGGGGACACTTGCTCGTGGTATCGAACTCGAACTGACAGCTATCGAATAAACCTTGTTAATTATATACTGATGGGAATAAGAAATAGAATCGTTGCGGACCAAGTTTTGCCCAAAATATCATTCTTCAATTTCAGACGTTCATGGGCGGCGATGGTCAATTTCCATCAGGTGACCCGTCTGCTCGTCTGACCCCTCTAACATAAAAAAAAACGCTTTATAATCTTCATAAGACCTTATTGATATAATTAACTTTATAGACATACAAAATAACAATATTTTTAAATTATCTATGGCCAAATAAGACATTGAAAACAGAATGTTATACTTTCTGCAAATAGACTTAAAATCAAATTGTTCGTGTAAATAACAGAGGAAAACTACGCGGTATAAAATGTGTTTAATAATTCATTTTAAAACTAGGTCTACAGTCTCACTTTACTCAAAGTCTTCCACAATTGTTCGAAGTGGTAGCAAACTTTGTTGACGTGACCATTGAGGGCCCGTCCGCAGAGCGATATTCCAAGATATTGAATTCCAAAATAATACCGAATCTTGCTTTCTTCACTGTATAACGTTATTAGAAACGCAACATTTAAGACAGCGTAAGCGATAATTCAACTATTTGTGAATCAGATTATATTTAAATAACAATTTTAATAAAACTTTAGATGTTAGCGTCCTTCTTATATTCATGTCACACATGATATGCTTACATCTCTGAAGAGCACATTGTATTTTTAGGTGAGTTTTAAATTTAGCTGTGTGTTAATAATAGAAGTTTGCGAAAGTAATAAACTCTACCTGGAAAAGCGCGATATCATTGTCGTGTGCAATGCCCGAGTTGTACTGCGGATGTGGCGCCACACGTCGCACCTTCACCTTTTGCCCGTAGTAAGCGTGTGAGCGACGCCGCGTGATCCCCAATTGTATCGTCCAGCCGTTCACGTCCGTGTGGCTGAAAGAGAAGAAGCCGTTGAAAGAACGAACTGGGGGCCGTGTTTAAGGTAAAAGACAAAAAGTGTGAAGGACTGTAACGAACATTTTTTTTTATATCTTAAGACATCTCACAGACATCCCATACTAGGCAGAGTCTGTTGCAGCAAAACATAATATATTTCTAAATATTATAATAACTACATATTAAAGATTAATTACACCCTGATCTAAAAGAAATGATCGTGCTCATCCCACAATACTTGTTCTTAGCTGGGATTGAACATATGACCTCTGGTTAACCAATCAGGATCGCTAACCAACAGACTAGCCCGTAGATAAAAAAATTATAGCTGTCGTATACATACTAACCATAAGTACGACAGCTGTACGTAGGAATATCTACTATTCCTCTCAGAAACACTTTAACCAGAGCATACGCAAAGACTTATTGACACGGATTAAATTAGGGTTAGTTATACATTTTAGTGTGTTGTGAATAATTTTCTTGTAAAGTCTTACTCACTTGCCAACACAATGGGCAGCAGTAAGCACCCACTGGTCTGCTATCAGCACTCCAGCGCAGTAGAAAACCTCCTCGGGCCCACCGAGGATAGCAGCGAGGAATGGCCAGTCACCAGGAGACGCCGGCACGCCACCTACTATTCGTTTTGTTGACCCCCCAATTGTTCGTCTCTTGCCACATTCTGGAAGAAAAATTGCGAATCAGTTGGTGAATATTGACCGACAAGCTCTTTCCACAAAATCTTATAGGATTCAACTTTTGTATCCTGTTTATTTGACGACAATTTTGTTGTAGTTTCTTAACATCGTATAACGTAATAATAACGTATAATTCAGAGAATTTACAACTGAATATCACCTGTATGAATCATTAAAACTTCTGTCATGATAGAAATAGATGCTTGCGTATAAATCGTATAGCCTATATATGTACCTACCGGCTTACGAACCGTATTGTTCAGCCATTTCTCTCCAATATTTAGTACCCACTTATGCTGTTTGAAGTCTATTTCCAAACTCTTTGACCGCTTAGAGCTGTCTGTTTTCGTTTTATAATTAAAAATGAAATACGTTTTCTGTTACAAGTTATGTATTATATTATCTTGGTAATAAAACAGTTTTCCTGAAATTTATTTGAATTTTAATTTTTAAAAATGTCTACATTTAGAAATACAACGTTTTTGTCGAGACCGACGGGCGGAAAAGACGGCTTCCAACGCTAATATTATCGCGGTACATAATTTCCAGACCAACAAGTTCTGAACAAAGTAAGCAAGTAAATATTAATCCTATTGTAATTTGTGCTTGTTTGCTGCCGCTGTGGAGCAAAAATTAAACTTATAAAGCTCAAGTTATCTATTCAACCTACTTGACGGCCTCTCAAATAATTGTAAAGTAAAACCCTTTGCGAGTTAAGTAAAACAATTTTTATCCATTCTAATTAAGAAGTGATAGCGGCTATGCCTGTTTATTTTCGTTCAGGCTTTCATTATCAGATTTCCAGGAGATAGCGGCCTCCGGGCACGAGTACAGGCCGCGCGGAGATCCGCCATCTACTATACCCGCAGTCGGCGGTGTCACCACGAAGATGGTGAGGAGGACCGGCTTCAAGAGGAGTACCGAGAGGCGCGGAAAACTCTGAAGCTGGCCATTAGCCGCGCCAAAGAAGTGAAAAGAAAGGAGATGCTGGAAGGTCTCGATCGTGACCCCTGGGGTCGCCCGTATCGTGCGGTGCCCGGTAGTGACAGATGTTTCACCGCGGTCGCATCCTTCTGCGAAGATGTCATCTCACAAAGGAGGCGGCGGAGAGGGCCTGGGAGGTTGACCTCTACTCGGACCCAATTCGTCGCTGGCGAATCGAGCGGCGGAAGCGCGCTTACCACCGCCTAATGCCGCCCTGAGTTGAGGCCGCGGGTGGACGGGAGGGGTTTTCCCCTCCACCCTAACTAACAACCGCGAGAAGGCGACGTCCGCGTGTACTGGTGCCATTGCAGGCAGGCGCTAGGAAGGGTCCGGATGTCTTAATAACAGCAGTTCCCGGATCCCTCCTATTACAGGGCGCAGAATAGCACTCCGAGTGTCCGATTTCGACACACCACCCCGCCGCAAACCCCGGTGGGGTCACGGCTCAAACTGGTCTCCACACGTAAAAAAAAGGCTTTCATTACCAGATGTAATTAGGACGTACAGAAAACGACTTAAATAGACTAAAAGGAATGTACCTACCATGTGAGGATATGTTAATTAAACTAAGATCTGAATATCGAGAAAATGGCTTCAGGTCTTCCTTTGGCAGGTTGCATTTGTAGGTATTGCTTGCTTTTCTTTGTGTGACCTATTCATTTCTAATAAGTAAGTTAAGAATAAATTTCATTGTGATTTCAAAGACATTTGAAAGTCTGTGTAAAAAATTACTATTTAATTAGCTATTACTGAACTGTAGGTCACGGTCTAAATCACATATAACTGAAATGTGAATCCCAAAGAAATGCAGACAAGACTTAGTTATAAGAGTGTTCATCGTATCAGAAGACTAATGCAATGTCATATAATTACTTTGCTAGTTATTTTGTCCCTTTAAATATTGCCTAGGACAGTAAACTCTTCATAATCCTTACGCCTGCTAAGCCTACCTGGCATGTCTTCATAACAACGCAATTAAAGTTTGTGCAGAGCAGCGAAAATAAATCATAAACAACAGATTACCAAGGCCTCGCCCTGTCTGCCTCCCGAAACAGAAGCTTGTAATTAAACAATTTTTTGGACATCCAATTATGAGGTTTGGTTTAAGTCAAAGGCAGGAAAAAACAAACGCAGTATTTATATATTATTTTAATAAAATAACAATAGTTTTAGAGATTGCTTCGTCACAAATGGGTCGGCTCGACCGGAGTCATATCCATCTCTGTGTATGCTGAGTGTTCATCAAAGGATCCGCGTCGGAACTCGTATTCAAAAATTACTCGGATTTTCGAAGTATATCTTTCACGTCTAAGCTGAATTTAAAAAAAAATGAAAGTGTAAATTCAAATGTTGCACATTTCTGTAAAGAAGCACATCATAGGTATATATGAAAAAAGGACCATGAAGGTTTTAGGTCAATTCAAAGTATCTGTTACTATACAACGGCAATTTTATACTTTAACCCCTATTATTAGAATGGATAAACTCACGTAAAGACAGATACAACATTATGCTTTTTAATAGGTTAGGTTAGTTTGTAACTTGTGTTGTCATCTCTTTTAAATGTAAGAAAGACATTATTGTGGCTATAGAGACGAAAGCAAAACACAATAAAGACTTATTGCCAGTTGTGTAAGCTGTGAGAGCTTATAGAAGGTACGTGCCCGCAATGTTTCCTCTCGGTTAGCGCGGACATGAGCTCTACATGTTATGTGAAGTGGGTTGTAGTCTACAACTTGTAGAATCTACAACACAGTTTCCACAGTGTACGTACAGTAATTTGTTTTCAACTTTTAGTCACATATTTGTAAACTTTACGTTTTGTAACGTAACGTAACTTTGTGTTCACATGAGTTTTGTAATTTATTTATTAATTTATAAAGTATACACTTATGTACAAAATTGGTACACAAAATTGAAACACAAAATAATTTGAAATATGATAGACACGGTACGTAAAGTAAAGTTAATCAAACTTTTACGAAAATTGATCGGTCAACAAAATGGCGGAGTAATATTGCTGACCATAATTTTAGTTTAATTTAAGTAATAGTATTTTGGCCGACTATACCACGCTGGCCAGACGGGTTGGTATAGGGTTTGTGTCAAGTTTTCCTTCTCTCTGCAGTGCTGTTGTCCTGCGTAGTTTACTCCCTTAGTCAGCTCTTACGACACCCACGGGATGAATAGGGGTGGTGACACTCTGTATTCTTAATCCGTCACCACACGGATTTTTTTGATTAGCAATATTTTTCCCTGTATTTAATTTGTTTTGTATACTATTGGTAAAAAGAAGTAGTAAATTAATATTATTTGAATTCGAATTTATTTAAACAGCTAAATCTGATTAGGTCCCTACTTTCCTTTTGATAGGCAGAAATATTTGGAGTTGAAATATTTTCCTCAATGAAAGACCTAATTGTTAATCAATTTATTTAATCTTTAAAATAGATAAGATCCAGTAAAATCATACTAAATGCAAAACTTGAGATGGATGTTTATCGTTGGAGTTGGATGCCAGCTATTTTGGGTTGACAGTACAATGAGCCCAAAATAGCTGATCGGATCTAAATGAATTCAGCGTAGAGATAAATTTAAGGCCAAAATAGCACCCAGGTCATATAAATTAAAAACTCATCCTAAAATTATCTAAATTCTATGAAATGTTTCCAGACTTATCAAGAAACTTTGAAGTCTAAACTTAAATCACAGACAATTGCTATGAATAAAATGTAGCTAAAACTAGCTTCATATTATTGTATCGTGTTGCTATAGAAGCATGTCTATTTAATGCATTTTGTATGGTAAAACACATACTATTTTACATAATAAAATATACATATAGCCATATGGAAATGACTTGTTTCTGACGGCAGCACAAGGCACTATAATATAAAGCACAGCTTAAGTTTTATTTCCATATCCATAATACTTTATAACGTGAATGAAATATATTATAGTGCCATTAAAATATTTACAACAGTTACATTATTTACATTCAAGCATCAAAAAATTCCTCAACATCATCGCCTACTGGTAGCGTTCCCACAAGACTGGCAGCATTGCCACGTTGAAAGGCAATGTTAATTTTGACCTGTCATGGTACAAAAATCTACACACTGCCGGTTCAAGTTAGACTGGACATAAAATACATTCAAAACAGCCGAAATTCGACCGCTAGGCGATCTCTGGTAGTGTATTAAACGGTAAATATGTATTGAGCCCTTTGAGATCAGAGTGCTCTTTCTGTTTATAAGGAACTAGCTGAGAGACGTCCGACAGATCTTGTGACCAGAAGACGGGTCTTCTAGCGCAGAGGATTAGCATTGCAACTTGAAAATATTGCCTTCTAGATATTTTCATAGAAGTTTTTTTCATATACATGTTTATAGCGTATTTAATAGGGTTATATCTCGTATATACGTTAAGGATTTTTTGATGTACCTGCTTTCTAGGCACACAAGATAACTTACTATTCTATTCTAAGTGGTTATGCTTTTTTTTGGCGACGCGATGGAGTGCAAAACACTTCGGATCTTCGGATCCTTGGGGAAGAGCCAGGAGTATGCGGTGTTTTTACAAAAAACCACCCACATCCTAAGTTTTGAGAATTTATTTTGTAAAAAAAAGTGCAGCGACTGATTCTCACACATATTTAAAAACTAACGTTCCCTAGTTTTTTTTTTACATGATGATGATATCGGAGGAACGAGCAGACGTATCATCTGAAGGCCAATTCTCGTAATAAAAGTTCTGTCAAAATACAGTTCCGATTAGTCACATTACAGTCAAAGGTGGATGTTTAATAATTTACTACGAAAATAACTTTTATGACAGTTGTGATATCGAAATTTGATCGGAACTGAATATTGACCAAACTTTTATTATGAGAATTAGTCTTCTGATACTTAGGTACTGCCGCCGCTTATGAACCTCACACACTCGCAGAAATGCCACGGAAAAATGGCAATAGGTACACCAGTTTTCTGTAAGACTGGCTGTGACACTACAACGAAACAGCATTTTAATTTTATTTATATAAACGATTGAAAATATTTATTTAGTAAGACAACCAAGAACTGTCTGTCTTCATAAAATTAAACAAATTTACGTCAAGTATCTTTCGAATGAATGACAATATTTTATGGAGCAGATAATCCCAAACGAAGTGCCACCTGCGAACCTGTCTGTCACTTATAATTACTCGGCGGCTTGACAACAAATGATCACTTAAATAAACAGTATATATCTTGTACTGAAATAAATCGTCGAGGTGGTAAATA